TTTTAGTTTTATTATTATATTACTAGTATATACTATACTCACTACTATAGTACTAACTAATTAACTTAACTAATATATATANACGACTACTATNNNNTTATTATATATATATATATATATATATATATATATATATATATATATATATATATGAAAAAGCGTTAAAAACGCCTATAGGCGAAATGCTACAGTGTTTCACCCCGCCACAGACATGCTATGCCCGTGGCAATTTACTAAATGGAGCTGCAATGGACGGTGCGTGGTCTGTGATGGCTCCACGAGTTTTTGACCGCCACTGACTTGCAATGTCCATGATGGTTTGATCGCCACGGGCAAAGCTTATAAGTGAAAATGAACAGTGTTTTCGCCCAAAACCTCAACGCTGTCCGATTTTTTTGGATGGCGAGGATTAAAGACTGCCACAGACCTAGCATATCCGTGGCTGTTTGTCACGGACATAGCAAGTCTATAAAAAGATTTTTTTCACCTAAATTTGAAGCAAAAAATGGGGGACCGCCATGGCTCCCGTACATCTATAGTGGTTTTTAGGAAAAGTGATCAAGGACACAACATGTCCATGACAAGGGCAAAACTATTGTACTTCACCTATAGGAGTTTTTAAGATTTTTCCATATATCCTGTGAGCCAATGGGCTAACAAGTAAAAATAAGCCCAATAGTATTTGAATTTTAATTTGTTTTTTAAGAATCCAAATCACTTGAAATTTTAGGTGTGTGTTCATAAAAAATAGATGAATCTTAAAAAAATATCAAAAAATATTTTACATGAAAAACATTGACCAAAATGCCCCAAAAAATGGTTTAGAGTATTTTGGTCAATTTGTTTTTTTGTGGATTATTATTATTAGTTTTTATTAGGTGCGGATTGATAAGGGTAAGACACATCTAAAATTTTAAGTGATTTCGATTCGTAAAATATAAAATAAAATTCAAACACTACCGGACATACGTGATCGTTAGATCGACCCAGATTTAATCTAAACCGTTGACTCATTCTTTCTTGTGAGCCCTCTGGCTCATAGGATAATTTTCCATATATATATATATAGAAAAGTTTATTTAGGGTCGAGGCTCTAAACAATCAAATTTCAGCCTATCTCAAAATTTTCACTAGAAGAGGAGCATGGACATGAGAAAAAAATGGATTCAAATTTTGAAAATAGTGTACTTTGTAACACATTTTTGGACCGTCAATTTTCAAGATTTTCAACTTTTCATAGATCTATCGATCTACACTGTTTTTGAAGCTTTAAACTATATAAATAAATGTAAAAATATATTTTAAGGCTCTCACAAAGATTTCCAATATTGAAACCACATTTTTTTATACTATTTGAAGGTAGGCTCTAATTTGATTGTTTAGGGCCTAGGCTCTATACAAACTGCACCCATATATATAGAGAAAGGTTCATGTCTGCCCACGAGCTGATAGCTATAGTGTCAGCCAACGACTTAGATTTAATATGGGCCCAATCCATTGGTCATGACATCATTTCGTATTTGAATTTTCATGTTTTTAATACAAATTTAAATTACTTGAAATTTTAAGTGTCTATTTTTAAGAAATAGTAGAACCTAATAAAAACAGAAAACAATAATTCACAGAATACCATAATAGAAAACATTTTGGGGGTATTTAGGTCAATATAAATTTTTACGAATTATTATTTTTTATATATTTTTATTACGTGCTCCTTGATGAGAAGAATGTACGCCTAAAATTTCAAGTGATTTTGATCTGTAAAAAAAATAAAAATTCAAATACAAAATGAGGTTGTAACCGCCAGATTGGCTGACTGTCAGCCCATAGGCTGATAGGATCCATCCCATATATATATATAT